CCCAAGCATCGTTTATTGGTTCTCTGTGTAATTACAGCTGGTCTGGCAATAACAGAGTAGCAACCGTGGGCGGTCAATCATGCTCATGCTCATGCTCATGCTCTACAGGTTTTATCCCTCTAAATTGAGAAGATCATTTTAAAACTTACTAAATACGCGTTAATCAAGTATTGGACTACTGTATGATTGAAACTTTCAGTACATTATTAATGGTGTAGATTAGCATCGATAATGTATTGGAGCGGGGCTTACTGTGTGTGAACATATCTTCGGAATGCTTGCGTCCTTGAAATCGGCTATTGGAGCTACGGTAAAGTTATAACCTTCTAACTCCCGGTTTCAAGCTTCTTGCATTCATAAGAAATTATTGCAGGCAGATTTTATCCATAATACTACTGCTAAACAGTCAGAGTTAGATTTCAAACACAGACAGACAGAGTAAGACTACAATCCTAGTCTTACCATTAAAAGATTAATATATAAACTCTACTGTTCAAAATGAGTTTTACAATTCATGTTATAGTAAATTTATCTAAAAGGAGATAAAAACCGGATGTATTAACATTACATCTACTATAGATCCTAAAGATTGCAAAATTTTACCACGCAAAATAATGCGTAGAATTTATTGTGAAACCCTTTTCACCATTAGGGATCATGTACTTATTACATGAGATTTAAAAAAAAAACTTAATTTTTTTTTTAAATGAAGCAGGAAATCTCAGAAATACTTTACGAAATCATGAAGAAACATTAATAATACAGAACATGTTAATGTTTGACGATAGATTATACTAAGGCGGAGCTGTAATAGAAAAATTCCTTGAAAATATTACGAAATAACTGTATGGTCCCTAATTTTTCCACTGAGGCAAATAAACTTAAGAATTTCATAAGGCATCACTTATAAACCTGATCAATTTTCGATTCTTAATGCAGTGTTTGTGGAAACGTCTAGTACATGCGCAACTACCCTACTAGCTCAAGAGGTACATCTATCCTCACAGAGATGTCACAACAGTAGTATTCACAAGTGTCTCTTTCTGCTGTGTACTGTTTTGTATTGTATTTGACAAATAAAATTATAGTTCGTATGCCTCCGCCATGACAGAACGGCCAATCCCCAACAAACAATTCAAAGTCACAAATAAGCATACACATTGAATAAATGCTGTATAACAGTGTACAATGCTGAATAAAACAGGATGTAGAATTATGTGCTGGAAAAAGCTCTTTGAGATCGATAGATGCGGCTTTATTCCGCCGTTTGCTCTGATATGATTAACTTACTTATAAAATGCTTTATAAACGTTGACTGTCTTCCTGATTCAGAACCAGAAGTTTGATCTAATAACAAACTGAATAAGTGTAATTTGCACTTACATTGTCGCTTTAATTCGACTGTTTTCAATTTATTTAAAAACATGCTGTATTAGACGTCTAATAAATGTTCTTCAGCTTCATTATTAGTTTTCATTGCATTGCTTTACAATATTGCTGAATAAAGGTGAATACAGTCAGCATAATAGGTCATATACCATTATGCGTCCATGTTGAAATCACATGATTTGTAAATGCTTTATAAACGACGTATTAGATTCATTATTCGACAACACTGATTCAGTCTAACAACAAGACGAAATCATTAGAGTAGTGGTTACCGTTTCCGCTTTCCAAGTAGAAGGTTGTGAGTTCAATCCCAAGCTCAACTCTTTTTTATTTGTGTTCTACATCTAATTCATTTAAATAGTTATTATCAATCACATGACTCATGACAATGAATGCGTAGATCTAGTTTGAACAATAACCGAGCATCCTTTCCTTGGACTTGGAGAGGTGAAGAGGTAACATTGGTCTCATGTAAAACAACGATGAATGTACTAATTATTCCCACAGCTAGAGTTGCGATCGGGAGTGCTGATAGGTATTCACTTTCAAGCAAGCTTTTTTTGATTATTGAGCTGCCCATATGATGAATTCAAGGATAGCTCAGATGACAAGGCAAGCGGTTGGTGATGGACAGATAGATGCATGGTTCGAATCCCATGCCACGACATGTATATGTATGTAAAAATAAATACTATGTGCGTGGTGTGGTGCGTGCTACGTCAGAAATAATGAAAACAATCACTTTCACTAAAGAAACACCCTTCGCCTGTTCCCGTCTCTTATTTTTCGGGTTAATTTCCCCACAGTTTAATAATGTCTAATTAAACGTTACTTCACATAAGAATCAAGCGTATACAGAGCATCACTGTTTTGTTTTAATTAAGAGGAAGCAGTGATGTCTAATAAACGCTGAATAATCAAAAAATTATCGTATAAACTCTGTTACAACTCATATAAAGGGTTATACGGTCAAAATTTGGTCAATATCAACTTGACGTATTTCTTTCAATTTTGCATTTAAAAAACCTGAACACCCCTCATTTTGAAGGTGTGTGTGTGTAGAATGTTGCTCCTATTTTGATTTTGGAATTTACTCTTCAGTTGTCAAAATGCCGTCCAAGCAAGAAGAGCAGCGTATCAAAATTTTGCTCGCGCATCGCGAAAATCCGAGCTACTCGCACGCAAAGTTGGCTAAATCGCTAAAAGTTGCCAAATCAACCGTTACAAATGTAATTAAAGTGTTTGGGGAACGTTTGTCGACAGCCAGGAAGTCTGGATCGGGGGGAAATCGAAAACCGGAAGCCGCTGAGACGACAAAGAGAGTTGCCGGTAGTTTCAAGCGAAACCCTAACCTCTCTCTCCGAGATGCCGCAAATAAGCTGGGTGTATCGTCTACAACCGTGCATCGAGCCAAAAAACGAGCCGGACTATCGACTTACAAGAAGGTAGTGACTCCAAATCGCGATGATAAACAAAATGCGACGGCCAAAGCGCGATCCCGGAGGCTGTACACGACGATGCTGACGAAGTTTGACTGCGTGGTAATGGACGACGAAACCTACGTCAAAGCCGACTACAAGCAGCTTCCGGGACAGGAGTTTTATACGGCAAAAGAAAGGGGAAAGGTAGCAGATGTTTTCAAGCACATGAAACTGTCAAAGTTCGCAAAGAAATATCTGGTTTGGCAAGCCATCTGTACCTGTGGCTTGAAAAGCAGCATTTTCATAGCTTCCGGGACTGTCAACCAAGAAATTTACGTGAAAGAGTGTTTGAATAAACGTCTGCTGCCTTTCCTGAAGAAACACGGTTGTTCCGTACTGTTTTGGCCGGATTTGGCATCTTGCCATTACGGTAAAAAGGCCATGGAGTGGTACGCCGCCAACAACGTGCAGGTGGTTCCCAAGGACAAGAACCCTCCCAACACGCCAGAGAATAACGCGATACACTGCTACAAGGATTCCGCTCCATTTCCAGCTACGATGGTGTGGCCTTCAAGGTAGCCATCTAGCTGAGCATGTACGTTCTTGACTCACCGTGGACTAGGACAGTTCTGTTCAGGGAACATGCTCACTCCAAAAGGCGAGTGGGTATGCCGGATACATGTGCAGTTATCGTGGTTGTCGCTCATCTTCGTGTTATATTCGTAATATTCATCTCATCAATATCCGTTTCATCAATGGAAAACCGTTGGTTTTGAGGGGGGAGTATGTTTGTGTAAACGTCTAGTACATGCGCAACTACCCTACTAGCTCAAGAGGTACATCTATTCTCACACAGATGTCGCAACAGTAGTATTCACAAGTGTTTCTTTCTGTTGTGTACTGTTTTGTATTGGCAAATCAACGTTGGCACTCGTGGAGAATAGAAGAACTATGAAAGTGATGATGGTCTCAACATTTTCCATGGGGAGGTATACGAATGCAATCTTTTTTTTTTTTTCCTTTGGTTTGTTTTTTCCGTCGATCTTGTTTTCCGTGCTGAGCACCAATGCTACCGACGTGCCAGGAAGGCAGATCCCACACCTAGACCCTACCTATCGACCCATCAACTCATGAACCGGGGACCAACGGCTTTACTTCCCATCCGAAAGAAGGCGTGATCAGAGATGTTATGCCTCAGAACATCCCTGCGGCGCCGACTGGGATTGAACCCAGGCCTGCTGGGATGAGAGGTAATCACGCTTACCACTACACCACCGGCGCCGTTACGAATGCAATGTACAGTGGTAGAAATTTTTCTAAGCTTTTCCAGGAAAAACTTCTCGAATATGAGGAAAATTGATGATAATTTTACTCAGTCAGAATCCTCTCTCGGTTTTTTGGTTTTTCTCGTTTTGCAAATCCACTTTTTGCAAAATTATGTCGAACTCAACTCAATTTTGAGTCGATCTCATCCGTGTAAATCTCTTAAGATTATACCTTCGAATAACACTGTATTTAATTGAGTGATGACCTATTTATTAATGCCTACTGTGCAAAATGCATTTTTCAAACAGGTCCACATTGGGGTGAGGAAGCTGTCCCGCTTACCACTGCACCACCGGCGCCAGCATGTTTCCATCACTGGAATATATTGTTTTTGAATTTTGATACGTGTTAAAGTTATGTTTAATGCTCCAATTTCGGGTAGTTTGCGAGAAATACTTCTCCTAAAATTTAAAAGAGTATTGAACCCTTTACAACGTCGGCGTATTAAAAATGATCACGGCAGCACGCTGACCCAGAATCATCGGCGGTGGTGGCGTACACCAAGTACACCTGCATCAATAAAATTTGCATCCATTTGTGACCGTTTGTAAGAGTCTCAAGAAATTTGGTTCTAATTCTAAGGTGATGAAGTGACTACAAACTGATATTAGGATGTCACTTAAAATTCAATTTATTTACAAACTAGTAGAAATCGTTATTTGAATTTGCCAAGGATCATAAAAAACAAAAAAATGAACCGATGGGGATGACGACGACTTCTGAATACGTCGTAATGAACAACCAGGAACAGCCTGAATGATAAGCTACGCGAACAAATACAATAAATATCCAGAATTTACTAATAACTATAATAAACATAGTGAAATTGCTGTTTGACCAATGAGCAACAGAATGGGTACTTACCTATGATGGAGTGAACTCTAACGCTTAGTTGCGTTCGCACGACGAGGGAATTTTTGCGGCTGAAACGAAACAAGAAAGAAGATGGGACACTTTAGTGACCAAACAAGCATAAACAAAATATTTACTCTTACAAACACACTAGTGAGCTCATAAACGGAGGTCACTGCCATTCATTCGTACAAATTGTGAATGTATTGCGTCACCGACATTGTGTTAACATTTTAATTAAAACAACGATTTTACTTAAGATATTTCTATTATGATTCCCATCAATTTCACCCCAGGAAATCATTAGCAAAACTGTCACATGGACGACAAGAAGACAGAAATCCAGATCACATCGCACCGCATCGCATTGCTGTCTAGAGAGACACTTTTCCCAGTGCCACGAATGCGTGGAACCGTAACAAATGCTAGTGGGACACTTTTTAACATTTTATAATTGAGTTTTTACCCGTCCATAATTGAAAGAATAAATTTTCTTCCGGCAATTTTGCTCCTCTTGCAAGCTATAGACTAAGTTGCTGCTGTGGCTACTTCTGCTGCTACCTTCTCCATAGGTAAGGTATGAAACAGAGAAGGAGATGTTATAAATTTGACTTGACCGGTTTTGGTTGGCAATGGCTTTGATCAACAGTGTTTCCATATATGGGTAAAATCGGTTTTATTGATGCCTAATGAATTATTATTTATGCCTATTAGTACACTTTAATTCAATAAACATTGAGGGAAAGACAACATACGATCGAAAAGTCTGGCAACACTGTACGGCCACCCGAAACCGGAATGCAATCAAAAGCCACTCAAAGCACGTAAAGCGATGGTAGTTAGCATTTTTTTCCAAAGTTCCCTAGCTTCTAGCTTCCACCGAGTCCGCGCACCCACAGTTGCAGCAGCAAATGAGCAAAAAACAGGTAAGTTGGTACAAACTCATCATCAGCCCGCAACACAGCGCGCTGCAATGTGCCTTGTACCCTCCGAGAAGGACCCAGCAGTCCCAGAGATGAAAAAAAACATGAGAAATGGTTTCCACTCGGCAGCAGCGACGATTCCTAGCACCTACCAGATCGTCAGATCTTAACAAGTCACACGGTCAAGGGCGTGGTAAGGTTTTGCTACGAATCAACGCATGCATCTAAATGCAGGATGAATTAGAGAAATAGTTTGAAGAAATTGCATTCTATTTAAATATGGTCACATTTTTGTATACTGCTATTTGAAGAGCAGGTCATTTTTTCACCTTATTCGATGTGGATTCAATTATGTTTGGTTTCGGATAACAGCTTTGGAAGCTACTGGATTTCAGGATGTTCTAACATTTGAACCTCAGATAGCCTAGTCGGTAAGGGCCCGGTATTACCAAGGCAAGCCTGGGGAACTGAGTTCAAATCCCAGTCCAGTCTAGGACAGATTTCGGGTTGGAAATTTGCTCGGCTTCACAACCTCATGTTTCCACAGATTTCAGCTCTTCTGCACACCTACAAATAATTATTTTTACACGTGACGGAATCCATCTTTGACATAAAAGATGAGACGTAAACAAACATGTTATGTAATATTAAGTGCTCCGAGACTGAAAAGTTCGTTGCTCGGCGAAAAGTACGTTTGATTGAGCTATATTTCACGTTAATCTGTAATCTCCTCTGTTTGTATGAATCTTTTTTTTTACCTTTGTAATTGGAATGTTTAAGTTCCAAAAAAGGTTCTTTTAGTTTAATTTATTCAGTTTTTTATATTCAGTTTGGTGATATTATCACCATTAAAAACATCCACTCATCTAAGTTATTGGTTTAAACTTCGTATTTGCATGTTTCAATAAACTTATATTCACTGCTAGAGGTAATACATCTGGCGACGCTTGTTCAATGATTCTTTTACGTTCGCTAGCAAAGAAGTGGAGTCGAAGTGATTTTGTTGGTGTTTTATTTTGTTCATCAAGAGATTTGACCATCAGTTATTATTAAATTTTGTGTATTCGATTACGTGAAATTGTGGAAGGCTACGAAGAACACAAGTAAGTAAATGCAGTGAACGTTTTTTTCCCAGGAAATATACGATGTCAAATCATGAAATACTTGCTTTAAATTTTCGGATGGCTTGTGTGTGAATGTATGTGTGATGATTATTGAAGAATATTTCAAAAACAAGAAGAATCTGAATTGAGTGATGGTGTCTTGAGCCTTAAACTTGACGCATTTCTTTTAATCGAGCATTTAAAACACCTGAATACCCCTCATTTTGTAAGTGTGTGCGTGCAGATTGAAGCCTCTATTTTGATTTTAACATTTACTCTTCAGTTATCCAAATAGCGTCCAAGCAATAGGAGCATACAATTTTGGTACGTTGAGTTAGAAAAATCGGTAAAAGTTGCCAAATCAACTGTCACCAATGTAATCAAAATGTCCAGGGAACATTTGTCGGCAGACAGGTAGCCTGGATCGGGGAAAATCGAACGCCGGAAGCCGCAGTGACGACAAACAGAGTGGCCTGCGGTTTCAAGCGGAACCCCAGGGAGTGTCGTCTACAACCGTACATTGAGCCAAAGAACGAGTCGGACTGTCGACTTAGCGACTCCAAATCGTGGCGATAAACAAAACACGATCCCGGAAGCTGTACACGACGATGCTGACGAAGTTCAATTGGGTGATAATGGACGACGAAACCTACGTCAAGGCAGACTTTAAACAGCTTCCTGGGCTGCAGTATTATACGGTAACCGGAAGGGGAAAGGTGGCAAACATGTTCAAGCATATGAAACTATCGAAGTTCCCTAAGAAAGGTCTGGTTTGACAGGTTATCTGTACCTGCGACTTAAAAAACGACATTTTCATTGTCACCGGGAACGTCAACCAAGAAATTTACGTGAACGAGTATTTGGAAAAAGGTCTGCTGCCTTTGCTGAAGCAATTCGATTTTACGGTGCTGTTTTGGCCGGATTTGGCATCCTGCCATTACGGAAAAAGGCCTTGGAGTTGTAAGAAAAACTTCCATGCGCTGTCAAAAGAAGCTTTCGAAGGTAAATCAAAACAATTGCTGAAAGTCGGAAGACGATACCAGGGGAAGCCAGAGCCGGCGCCGTTGGTGTAGTGATAAGCGTGACTGCTTTCTCATCCCAATGCAATTGCAATGGGTCTGGGTTCAATCCCAGCCGAGGTCGGTGGGATTTTTCTGAGGCATAAAAATCTCTGGTCACGTCTTCCTTCGGAATGTGTGCGATATCTTACGCAGGTGTGGAAGCTGCCTGGCACAAGATTGCGGAACAGATACCGACGTTAAATAGAGGAAAGAAAAAGAAGAAGAAGAAGGAGGAGGAGAAAAATAATAAGAAGGGGTAGTCAGAGTTCTTCATGTATCGTTTAACAGAAAGTAAAAAATACATTCTGATAGAGCTATCTTAATACATGATAAACTACGTTTTTCAAATGCGGGGAATACCCGACAAAATCTATAACCTGTTTTCATATTGCAGGGACGCCAAAAAAGCCGGGTAGCCCAATGATCGAGTTCCGTTTTTTAAATTGTGGTGTGTGAACAGACTTTTCTTTATTTAATTATTTGATCTACATCAATACGCTTTGCCCCAATCATGGATTACCATTCAAAAAAAAAATTTTTTTTTTGTAACTACAAGTTTACAATTTGCAGAGCTGGTTGGAAATGCTATGCTAATCCAACATGAAGCTTAAGTGTGGAAATTTATTAGCTATAGAATGTTCTGAATAGGGTAGGTAGATAGTTCCGCTATATTAAGGCAGTGTGAAAATTGAATAGAAGTTGAAAAAGAGTAAAGGGCCATTAATGCAACAGTACTAGTCAAACGCACACTCCTTTACCTAATCGATACATTAACGGATGAGGCGACTTGAAGTTTTTCTTCAAGACCACAGACAATATAGTGCGCGTTTGAATTGCTCCATACAATCTCGGTACTTCGGCACCAGCTTCGTGACACGTATGCAAGCAGAGTTGCGACCTATCACAATCACCATCATCAAACAGCTGACGGTAGTAACGCTGTGTACATTCCTATCAATGTGCTCGTCGAAGCTCTCTCCATGACCATCCATCAAGCTGACGAAAGAAGCAAAAAGCAACTGGTGAATGTCGTCTTCTGTTGTGATCTATCACCGATCTGGTCATTCCTGACAATCACGACACTCATCTGTGCTCGTTTTGAAGCAGTTGCTTATGTGAGTGTGTTGGTGAGTGAGCCCAACAGCTTCCGTTTAATGTTGCCTGCTTTGTTTGTAACTCACACACTCGCGCCTGCCGAGACGAACTTGGATTGCGTAGGCATTGTTTTCATTTTCTTCTGTCGTTTCGCTTTTTCTCAAGTCTTCACTGTTTTCGTTGTGCTTTTAATTATCAGCAGCGAGTGTAAAGATTTGCTTGTGAGCAGCGACCATTACTGGTGATTGTTGTTTGCCATGGCTCTAACTCTCACTGCGTGACAAAACGATCTGTCAGCGATAGTCGGTTGATGCGAAGACGAGTGTCACGTGAGTGTCATGATATTTTGCATCACTGTATGTAAGCTGTTAATGGCGCATCAAGACATCGGGTTACCTAATCACTGCTCTGCAATCAACATTGGTCAATAATAACGAAAAAGTATCGCTTTTCTCCGCATGCGCAAAAGTATGTTTGTCTAAAATAGAAGTGTTAATGTTATCAGCGTTTGTTCCATTGAGAAGCTTAGACGGTGTAACCGGGGTTGAATGCCACAATGCAGTTGTACTTTGCTATGAGGTAATCAAAGATAGCGTATTCAGTATTCCATCTACTTTACATTTCAGATCGGCCGAATCATGTTCAATGATAGTGGAATGTTGCGATATTTTAATCTCATTCTGGTTGCTCACTGGGTGTTTGAAAAATCGCACCAAACAGTCGTCGCAACGTTTTGCCATAGTATTTCGCATGAAATCGCCTTACATAGCTCCCATCGCACTCAGCACAAAAATCATTCCCGTGGATGTGTTGTAGGCACTTTTTGCAACTCATTGTTTCCTGTAGAAAACAGATTTTTTTTACAACAAATGGACTACGGAACAAGTTT